AGGAAGGTAAGGGTGGATTAAAAAAAAAAAAAAAAAAAAGAGGAGGGGTTAAAAATGAGAAAGCAGATGCTGTCTGATACACACGTGTGCTATGTTGCAGGGTAAAAGGTACTGAGGGTCATTCTGGGGAGGAGGCTAGAGTACTTTCATTCTTGAAGTAAACTGAAGTTTAACTTGCTTTTTCCAGTAAGATCTTAAATCGTAATTAGATACGATTTTATGTTTGTTGAGGAGCTAGAAGCTGGTTCTGTGAAATCTGGCAGTTTTTTCTGGTTTAGTGTTCAAGCTTCCTTCGTTTGACATACAGATGGCAGGAGGCAAAGAAGATAGAAGCAAATACTGAAGTATAGAGTGGTGTATTCCCTATAAATGGGCTTACTCCCTTTCATGTTACTCAAGTTGCATTAGAAATAGCATCTTTGTGGTTAGAACTGTTTTACCTGCTTCACTTCCACAAATACCAGTGTGGAAAATGGGGTGAGATTACTTATAACTTGATGAAGTCATACTACTTCAGAAGCAGATGTTACAAATAATTTCAGAGCAGCTTTGGTATTCTAGTGTCTAGATCTTATGACTTGGAGAAACCGGTAATTGTTTTCCTATGCATGCTCTTTGCTGTTCCAGCAATTATGGCAGGTAAAATGGTATACTTTGTTGCATTAGCTTATACTTCCATCACAAGTTTCTTTTGACATTAAAATGAATCAGTTCTACTCAAAATTATACTAGAGGAGCAGCTCTTTTGCTTTTCTGAAGAACAGTTGCACTTCAATGGCCATAAAATCTTTGTGATGAAGCTTTACTTACTGCTAATTTCTTTGTAATCTGTTGCTGTTGCCATCCTGTGTTTTGTTGCTGTGTGTTGCTTCATATGAAGCAGAGCTGTGATGCTGCGGAGATTGGTCATTCCCTTCGTAAGTTGTATTGGTTCTTGTATTAGGATAAGTTGAGGTTGGGAGGAAGAGCAGCAGATTTGGTTCCCAAGCATTGAGGGCAATCGGAGTCAAAAAATCAAATGGTGCATTAAGGTTGGCTGTGTGGGAAGAAGTTAAGTGATATGATCAATCCAGATTAATTGTGTTAGAAACTGTCATGGGTAACATTTATCCACTTTTGTCTTTACCATTTCTGTGGCACTGGATTCCTTCAAGCTTTCTGGGATTCATGTAAATGACTTTGTGGAATTGAGAAGCAAAATATGATTAACTATGATGTGTTGTGTCTTAGGTAAACTGTCAACAAGAAGTGGCACTTTAAGTGTTGTGTGCTTTCTGGTCTGCCATTGCTTCAGTGCTTCCAGAACAGGGGTTTCGCTGTAAGATTAATATCGTCTTTCAAAATCACTTCCAATAACATGTTGATAGTGTGATATGTTCTTGGGGAGAAAGCTAAATAACGCCAGCACCAAAGGTATGATAGGAGTACTGCTGCTCTGCTATGCGAACCTCTTGGCATGCTTTTAAGAAACGCATGGACTATTCCTGCAGCTGAGAAAGTGCTTTGAAAAAACATTGATTTGAAACCTGCGGGAGCCTCATAGAGCACTGCTAGAGAATAAAGATGATGACAGAAGGGACTTCACCTGTCCCGTTATTGCTTGTCCTTTTCTACTCTGTAGTGCTAGTCATGAGTTTGGAAAACCAGCTCTAGTTCAAACTTGCTATTTAGCATCTACTTGCTGTAATGTGCTTTAGACTTTGAGAAGGAAAATGCACACTCAATTCCTGGTCAAACTTCACAGTTTTTGTTATGCCTAATTCTCTGTTATACTTAGAGGGAACTGTGTTAATCTAATGATACCCCTCCCCAGCCCCTATGTTTGATGTCCGTAGTTCTGGTAGGGTTTTGTTGTTGTGGTGGTTTTTGTTGTGTGGTTTTTTTTTTTTTTTTTAAAAATCCCCATGTTTCAGTACACAAGGATGTCCAGTGAGGTTTGGAGATGATGAAACAAGCTATCTGTTAGTCTTAAATATGAATGCTTATCAACTTTCCTTTCTCCCATAACTGTCTGTGAATACAAGTGGTAACTTCCATTTGTTGGGGAGCTAACAAGTTTCACTTTTTCTCACTAATGATATATGTGTAGAATATTCTTAGCGAGAAAGCAATCAGGAATAATTTTTCCTTCTATAAAAGCTATTTATGGCTTAAAAGCCATAAAAGTTGCTAGTCTTTAAACTTGAGTTTGTACAAATAGGAGGAGGGGGGTTTTATTGGTGCTGGTGTGGTAAATATGAATGGAAGGTACTTCAGTAGCTTGTGGCAGCTGAAGTTCCCTGATGTTTTGCTACAATATCGTGTTCTGGTTTTAGAATTGCTGCATAGCTGAGACTTATTTTAATGGTGAATTTTTAAGAAACTAGTCAGATTAACTTTTTTGTTGTTGAGAATGATGTGTGATATGAAGGGTACCACAGGGAAGAAACTATTGTGTGTCTTTAAGAAAGTTTTCATTTGTGTCTGGTTTTTCAGTGGAAAATGCCACGGCAAATACAAATACACTTGCTTTTACTTTGCCTTGCCACAAAATGACAAAGGAGGTGAAAAAACACCTAAATAGATACAACTCCTTTCTGGTGTAGTATTTTTAGAATCCAAGGAAATTCAGTGCCTGTTTAGGACCCAAGCAAAGGGTTGGGATTCAGGAGTGAGGCAACAGTAAGTAATTTTTAAGGCACTGTGTCTTGGATCTCTTCTGTTATTTTCATCTCTCTGAACTTTGCTTAAAAAAGCAGATGGATGGTATGGAGAAGCTGGGAGTGAGTGAAAACTCACTTAGACATTTCAGCTGCTGGCTGCATGCTGAGATCTGAGTGCTGGGTTCAAAAACCAGCTGCCTGTTGTAGGAACCTTTTAGGTTCAAAAGTTGATAAGATTTCAGGATGGATGAGGGAACCGAGAGCAGGGAAAACATGCAGATATTTTTCTTTCTCTCTGTTTTTCAGAAAATTAGAAGTGCAGTGTTGGTCTAATTTGTCTGTTGAATCAGATGCTTCCTTAGACCGCTAAAAAAAAGTTCTGTTTTTTAATAGGTCGTATTTTTCAGCTTTTACCTTCTAATCTGTTTCTTCTTTGCATAATCAAGAATTTTGCTGCAATTTGTATAGTGGCCACTAATTGGGGTTTG